TGTAATTTGATCGCTAACCTGCTGAATTGCCACTTTCATAGCGATGCCGTATGCTCCTGCAATTTCTGTTGTAGAGCCTAAGCTACTTTTGCCACCACCATCGTCCCCGTCTGTTTCATGTCCTATTACGGGATCAAATTCTTCTGCGAACACCCTAGGAAGTATCCCCAACACAATTTTTGCTGATATCCCACTAGGATACCACCTGCCAGTGAATCCTCTCCAGCTCACATCACCGTCCGCTATGTCAACTCCAGTGGATGCCATGTCTGGTTCAAAAAGCTCCCCAGTTTCGAGCTCTGAACTAGCCAGCAGCTCAGGTAACCCACCTTCACCATCTGTGCCATGTCTTATATCAGAGTCTTTTGCGAACGCCTTAGCGAGGACCTTTAACACAGCTTTTGCTGGTGCTTCACTAGAAAACCACCTCCCGCCGAAACCTCTCCAGGTCACGTCACTGACCGCCACATCAACTCCAGTGAATGCCAGGTCTCGTTCAGAAAGCCACTCTGGTTCGAGCTCTGAATCACCCAGCACCCCGGGCAATATGGATGTTGATCATGACCCCAATGCGCTCGATTTCTCGCAAAGTGTCTTTGATGGGCAGGATCTTCTTCAACACCGTGGTAGCTATCTGGATGACAATGATTCAGACAGCCATCCAGATTCGAGCTCTGATTCGGCCAGTAGCCCAGGTAACATGGATGTCGATCGTGACGAACCTGACAACGTGCCTCACGAGTCCCATTTGGTGCAAAGTGTCTTTGATAGGCCGGAAGTTCTTCAGTTGAAGACCGTACTTGACGTCAACCAAGCCCCGAAAAAATCTTCACATTCCAAAAAACCTCGCACTTCTACAAAGCAACCTTCAGCTCAAGCCATGAAACAGCCCCGCAATAGCAAATCAGAGGATTCAGAGGATTCGGACGATTTGGACGATTTGGACGATTTGGACGATTTGGACAACACCCAGACTGATGGACTGTCTTCGCAAGCTGGACACGTACAAGCTTTGAGTAATAAGTGTCATCGCTCACCTTCTCCTGTTGTCTTCCCCGGGCTTGGATCAAAGGAAAACCCAATCGATTTGGACAAGGTATCCTCCTTATTTGAGCCAATGGTGATAAGAGATTATGTATGGCCATCCACCAGACTTAGATTCCTTTATGCTGATCATACCTTGTAGGTGAAACGGGAACAGATTTCTCTTCCCCTGGAAGTTGATCCTCCAAAGGACAGAAGCATAAATTATACGATTTATGACGTGGCAGGGCAACCTGTGTCATTCAAGCCTAAGTTTCATGTAAGTTGCAAAAAAATTGACCAGTATTTAATACTAAATTTGTTTGTGAAGTTCCCAGTTTACCACAACCGGTTCCATCAATTCTTTGACCGTATCGAGATGTTTTATGAGGATGGAAAACCACTCCATATTGCACGTCCAGATGATTCCATCATCAAAACTTTCTCTTATGACAAGTGGAAGACACTAACGCCTGTCCAAGTTCAACAAGAATTGAGGAAGAAGAATGTTGTTGTCACCGGATGGCCTCTCAAGGACGACTTATCTTTCGATGAGGCTGGTTTGCGAAAAGTTGCTGGAACACCATCACGGCAAATCTCTATCAATGGTAATCAGGTATCATCAATTTTGCCGAAATTTTGACTGATTTCCTCTTTTTTTGTGCAGATTATTCTATCAGGCCTTCTGGCAATATGTGCCGTCCAACAGTCGTAAGTGGTCGTGTACGGGATTTGTGGGACAATCGACATCCATCTGGGAAAATTCTGAATGCTTTGGACCTTCCGTTATATGATGGCAACACGGAGCCCAATGAGTATGCAAGTGACCTCCATGCATGGGATGTGACTCGCGGCCACCATTGTATTGACCCAGCCTCTCCATACCCAACAGAGCACATGCGTTGGGCTCTCGTTGGTCATGAGAACGCCATAACATTCCTTCACATTGATTGTGAAGGTTTATCCACTGATCTTTTAGTGGTCGCTGGTGGAAAAGCATGGGCGTTTCTTCGTGAACGTCAGGGCAATCCTCTGTCACACTAGTGGCTACCACTTTATTTCTATAACCTAGACCCAAGCCTAGAGGGTCATTTCTATAACTTAGACTTAAGCCTAGAGGCCATATCTATAATGCTTAGGATTTTTTGAAAGGCATTTCAAATGTAGGCCTGGGTATTTCATAGTGAATTTTCCATAGATACCCAGCGCATTTTCTGCGAAATTTCAAATGCAGCCCTGGATATTTCATTGCGATTTTTCAATAGAGACCCTTGGTATTTCATTGCGATTTTTCAATAGACACCCTGGGCATTTCATTGCGATTTTTCAAATGTATCCCTGGGTATTTCATTGTGATTTTTCAAATGTATCCCTGGATATTTCATTGCAAAATTTCAATGGATACCTGGCGCATTTCATTGCGATTTTTCAAATGTATCCCTGGGTATTTCATTGCGATTTTTCAAATGTAGCCCTGGGTATTTCATTGCGATTTTTCAAATGTAGTCCTGGGTATTTCATTGCGATTTTTCAATAGATACCCTTGGTATTTCATTGCAATTTTTCAATAGATACCCTGGGTATTT